GGTGGAGGGGCGGTGAGCGGGGCCCTGCCGCGCCGCGGGGGCTGGTGCAGGGTGCCAGGACCCCGGGCGGCCCGTGTCGGTGCTCCACACCTGTAAACTTGGTGAAGGGTGCTTAGGAGGTAAACTTATCTTGCCTCGTTTGTAACGCAGGAGCAGAAGAATATCAAGTGGAGTTTTGAAGTTGCTCAAATAAATAATCGCAACTCTGGGCTTAAATGACTTCTTAGTGTTGCTGCAGGGTAACGGAAGAAAAAACCATGAGATTCAGAGCAGTTGGATGGCTCTGGAAATGAAGGATGCTCAGGGCTCTAGTGGAGGGTGATACTAGAAGAAGAGCATTCAGCAGAAAATGGCCACAGGATCTCAGGTTTAAGTGTTTTAGGATTATCAGGGTCTCAGTTTGCTCTGATAGTTGTAGCATTTACTCTGAGGTATCTCCAGTACAGAAACGGGCTTAATTTCTTAGACTGGCATCGCTGATCGTATGTTGATAGCTTAGTCCCACCACCTGTGTTAAAGGAGTGGAGCAGTGTAAGACATTTGTAGCTCATGTCCTCAGTGATTAAGAAGCTGGTGGTAGTAATGAGACCATATTAAGAAGAAATTACTAAGAGCTATTGAGATGAGTAGGAAATGCTCTACTGTTTTCCAGTAGGTGATTTTTCTAGGGCTGTGTCATCATGACAAGTATATCTGTTTTGAGTGTTTCCTGGAAGAATGTTTTAGGAACTGGTACTGTAAAACAGACTGCTATATATGTGGCTATGAATAAATAGAAAGTTATACATTTAAAAACTTTTGAACTTTATCTTTGCTCAAACCTGAAGCTTTTGGCGAAGTTCAGTTTTGCTGATGTCCTGTGTTTCCAGTATCATTGGCTTTACCTAAACAAGACATTCCAGTACTCTTAAATTAAGTCAGTGTAGGAAAACTGGATCTTTGTTGTTTGAGAATCTGCAGGCTTAAACCAATTTAGATGGATGCAACTTCTTTAGTACAAGATCTTACCTTTAGTTATGCAGCTTGTGATCAAGCAGCCCTATTCATCCATTTGCCAAAAAAGTTCTGCTTGTGTCAGTTACAGGGAAACTGTAAAATCCCCTGTATGTGACAGTATGTAAAGTTGACTCCCTGAAACTTTCTAGCTAACATTACAAAAAAGCTTATGTTGAGATTTTCGTGTTTTAATTTGTGTAGTTTCTGTTTGTATAGACATTACGTGTACCTCATTGTATATTTTTAAACACTCCTCTCTTTCTTCCTTACAGGTTTTGTTCCGCCCGAAAGAATTAAATGATTGAAACTATAGTTACTTACAGTTTCTTCTTGCGAACAGTCAGTATCAATATGGAGGCGTAGACACCTTAGAAGGGACTTTAGTCTGAACTCTGGGAGGTAGTTCTGTGCACAAATAAAGAAACTAAGGCTTAATTTTTTTTTTTTATTCTGAGGATTCCGTTTGCTTCTGTATGCCATAAACATGGCATACAGAAAAAACTTAATTCAACAGTATAAAGCATTAGAATTTCCCGACAAAAGGCAGTTCATTGATGTTAAATTTCATAACTCTATACTTGTAACTAAGGCACCAGGTTAAAACTGAAATGCTCTGTTCAGTCTGTGCAGACAATGTTATAGACAGAAAAGTGTGCGGCTATTCCAGGCTCGCTAATTAAGACAGTTCATCCTTGTCAGAGACGGTGTATAGGATTTTTGTCTCATAGCTGAATAGTCGATATATGTGAACTTGAGTATAAACTGACTTCTTTAGTCTTAACAATTATTACAACAATATGAAGAAGTTGAGGCTTTTTTGAAGTCTAGTGCAAGCACATATACCAGATCAGTTCAGTAATGTCAGTTCAGGGGCTCTTTTTCCATGTGCCTTTTGAGCTTGAACCATTATTTTCAGCTTCCTAGTGAGGTTTACAGACTAAAATCTATATAAGCTGCGTATTTATCAGCTGTCTATGGTGGAATAGTTCTTAAATTGCTTAACACATGTTCTGATGTCTTTTTAGTTGCCCCCCGTTTTAGTTTCTTTATTGACAAAGGATTTTGATAAACCCATTTGAGGTCTTTCCTCTCTGAATCTCATCTTCACTAGCCTGACAAATTGATGCTTCTCTCCCAGATATGCCGTCCAAGGAAAGCATGTGATGCCCATACGATTCAAGGAAAAGTCCTTTTTGACATGCTTTCTTCAACTGTCAAAATGGGGTGGGGCAGCTTTTGCATGAAAAGCAGTTGTGTAAACTGAAGTGCAAGAACTTCCCAAATGTTTGAAGGCTGCTCATCATGAGGCTCGTTCTGTTCACATACACGTTCAAAGTTGCACATTAAAGTGTTTCATTTTCAGGTTCTTACTTTTGTACAGGCAGGGGTTATTCCAAATTGCCTTTAATGCACACAACTACCTCCCAGAGGAAGACTTGTCCCATTCCTCCAAAAATAGTTCATTATGAACATAATGGAAAATAGCCCTTTCTTGGCTAACATCACAAAGCAGAGTGCTTTGCATGGTGAACTGAAGTATGACTTATCCTGTGAGCTCTACAGAATGTCGACGTTTTCTACTTTCCCCGTTAATGTGCCAGTGTCAGAACGGAGTTTTGCCCGGGCTGGGTTTTATTACACTGGTGTGCAAGATAAAGTTAAGTGCTTCAGTTGTGGCTTAACATTGGACAACTGGCAACCAGGAGATAATGCTATGGAAAAACATAAACAGCTGTATCCTAGCTGCAGTTTTGTTCAAAACATGCTTTCAGTTAACAACCTCGGACTGTCCTCTCATTCTGCCTTTTCGCCTCTGGTTGCAAACAGTCTCTCACCATCCCTACATTCCATAACACTTTCTCCAAGTTTAGAACAAGTTGGATATTTCAGTGGCTCTTTTTCCAGTTTTCCTCAAGACCCAATAACTACTAGAGCAGTTGAAGACCTTTCATTCTTGAGACCTAAACTTCACAATCCTTCTATGAGTACAGAAGATGCTAGACTACGCACTTTTCACTCATGGCCACTGACGTTTCTCTCACCCACTGATCTGGCAAAGGCTGGACTTTATTACTTGGGGACAGCAGACAAAGTTGCTTGTTTCACCTGTGGTGGTCAGCTGAGTAACTGGGAACCGAAAGATAATGCTATGTCAGAGCATCGGAGACACTTTCCTAACTGCCCTTTTGTGGAGAACTTTACCCGAGACCAGCCAAGTTTCAATGTTTCGAATGTGAGCATGCAAACCCATGAAGCACGTGTTAAAACATTCATAAATTGGCCAACTAGAATTCCAGTTCAGCCTGAACAGCTTGCAGATGCTGGTTTTTACTACGTAGGTAAGAAAAACTGATGTCTCTGGTTTTATTGATATTGCTAAGTCAACATTTACTTTAAAGTAGATTATGTGAATGGCTGCTAGATATCTTGCCTTGTTTTTCTTAAAGGCCGCAACGATGATGTCAAGTGTTTTTGCTGTGATGGTGGGTTAAGGTGCTGGGAATCTGGAGATGATCCATGGATTGAGCATGCAAAGTGGTTTCCAAGGTAACTTGCAAAATCTTTATCATAATGTGTTCTCATCCTTAAATCTAATTTTGGCAGATATGTACATCGTATAGTGAAGTTAAAATTAATACATGCAGTGCAAATTCACTCTTTTCATTTGGATGTATTTCATGTACCTCTTTTTACAAGCTCTGAAGTGCTAAGGTGGCTGTATTTAAAACATTTCATTAAGCATGATATTTAATGCTTTCCACTTCATAATTAAAAGCTGTGTGCATCCCCAAATCACTATTAGCAAGTGAGGCTGCATTGTTAATGAGTATACTTATCTAAGAGAAGCAGTCAAAAAGCAGACTGAGGAGAGTGAAAGCTGCTGAGAAATGAAGTAGAGGGAACATCTAACTCCCTTAGTCTAGTTCTGTGCCCACACCCCTCTTGAACTAGTTTTTCACCTTGTACAGTTTAGTTTCTTAGGTGTGGAAAGGCTTGTGAAGAAGGTTTTGGCAGCTGTTTACTATGTCTCTATTGGAAAAATGATAGAAATAACTTTTTAATGTCCCCCATAATAAAATGGCAATTGCATACCTAATTGCTATCTGTGCCTGTGGAAATCTCCACCTACATTAATGACAGAAATAGCTGCACTTAATTTCAGGAAAGCCAATAACAATTCTTCATGTTGTAGATCTCCAACTAGTCTTTCAGGGCCAATTTACCATCTGCTGTTGGACCACGCAATGTGCGTAGAGTTAAATACTGTTGGACCACGCAATGTGCGTAGAGTTAAATGACATCTTTGTTTCCTTCTGTGTTGTGCCTGTCAGTAAATGTACTGAAGAGGCAAAACTCTGCACTAATGAAGCAGATCTGGCTTTGACAGTGATAACTTTTGAATGATTTCAGTAGGAGATAAGAGTGGTGAGATGCGAGATAGAAACAGTTTAGCACTGCACTTTGTAGTGATGCTGACACAGTATCATTTCTCATGACATGCCATTTTGATTAGAAGTGGTAGCAGGATGTAAAGCTGATGCATTTATATACATAAGCCTACTGACTGCTGAACATCATGGAAAAGCTTTATCAAAGTGTGACCAGATGCTAGGCTATATCAAGCTTCCAATTAAGAGAGCTCGTTCCCTTCTGAAGGAAGAGAAATATGTATTTAAGTTATGCTTGTGTTACTGTAAACTGTTTAATTCATAGGTGTTTTTTGCTTTTTCTAAGTAGAAGGTATAATTTAGTACACTTTTGTCAATGTTTCAGGTGTGAGTATCTGCTTCGTGTAAAAGGAGGAGAGTTTGTAAGTCAAATTCAGGCCAGGTTCCCCCATCTTCTTGAACAGGTAAACTTTTCTGTAACTTTGGTTTTTCCTTGTTGAAGAGTGCTGTGTTCTTTTGGGGAATTTGATCCATCCTTCTGCCTCATTTCTGCATGTATTTCCAGTATGTTTCTAACACGATAAATGCTCTTCATGAGCACAAAAATGAAACCAGTGCTGAACTGTGGCTAATGGGCTTGGACTAGTAGAGTTTAACCTGTACAGATTACTTATGTGTTATAAGGCAGTGAGCTCCTTTGTGCCAGGAGAGGGAAATTCTGTTTATGTAAGTTTCAGTGAATAATGCAGAACAGTAATTGTTATTTCAGAAATCAGTCGTGGACAGCCTGGATTATTTTTATGTGTAATGCTTCTGGCAAAAGCAAGCCAAACTTCTCTTCATGGAATTGGTCAGCACTAACTTCATATTGATTATATAGTTGCACAAATTTGCAGACTTGTGTAACCACATGTAAAGTGCCTAACAGATACCATTCAGGTAAAAAGCTTAGCATGGTTGATGAGGGAAGAATGTGTTAGAAGGGTAAGTAGGGAGAAGTGCAATACTTTGATACTAATGTAGTTCTGTTGTGTTCCACAGCTCTTGTCAACCTCTGATACGCCTGTAGATGAAAACATTGATCCACCAAGTATGTATATTAAAGCATGTTTTTAAACTTCCTCAGCATTTTGCAAACTTAAATGATTGGCTATCGAGAGCTAACTCGCTTAACGTTTCTTAGATTTTGTTGGAAGCAGCAATATTATAAGGATTTTCTAAGTGATGATAAAAGCTAGGTAGCCTCAACGTTACATGGACAAACTTCAAGGAAGCACCTCTAGGAGATCTTGTTTTTCATTTTCCTTATTTTCATATTAGCAGCTCATATTAAGATTTTTGGTTTTGAATGCTTGGCATCTGCTGTATTTGTGGTTTTTAGTTTCATGGTTGGGTTAAACAAACCAAGCCAATTTGGCATTTGTTAAATTGACCTATGGTATTGAACTTGGAACAGTTGCTAGAGGGTGTCATGACTATGCAGTTATGCAACTGCATTTTTAGGTGCGCAGCTAGGTAAATGCTCAGAGTTGAGCAGCAGTGGTCAAGGAGAGGGTAGGACAACCTGATAAAGTGAAGTCTTTCTGAACTGGACTGTAGTTACGGTGGAAATAAAACCCCTCCCAGAGGGTGAGTGGGTTATGCTATCACAGGCCCTGCTGGTTGAGGACAATGAGTCAGAATCGCATGTGTCTGGTGCTTAGCAAGCTGAATGGAAAATACTGATTAAGAGCTGGAATAAAGCAATTGTTTGTATTATAAACTCTGAATTTTGATTTCATCCCCACCCCTTCCCCCTGATATTTTGCAAGGCTGAATTTAGAAATGATTTAAGAATAAAAAAAGCTGCTAAGACACAATGGAATTCTCTGTGGTTTCTCTGGATTATCGTAGATTTTCATGTAGGCCTGACATGGATTGAAGTTTATCATGGATTGAATCTAATTGAATCTAAGTAACTGGCTTCCATTTTTAAAACTAACTACTTTAAAAAAAAGAAAGTCTATTTAACCATTGAAACTTTTTAATGCTAGATATTCACGTATATTTGCATGTGTGTAGGTAATGTTGATGTGTCTGACTTCTGGGTTGTATAGGTATTTTATTTTTTTTATATTATACACGGTGATTTTCCTCTTTGTTTAGTTATTCATTTTGAACCTGGAGAGAGTCATTCAGAAGATGCAATCATGATGAACACACCTGTTGTTAAAGCTGCCTTGGAGATGGGATTCAGTAGAAGGCTAATAAAGCAAACAGTGCAAAGTAAAATCTTGGCCACTGGAGAAAACTACAAGACTGTTAATGATCTTGTGTCTGATCTGCTCACTGCTGAAGATGAGAAGAGGGAAGAAGAGAAAGAAAGGCAATTTGAAGAAGTGGCATCAGGTATGCATAAGGCATGAATAAAAGTGAAAGCAGAAGTGGTTTGTATTACGTATAGTTTCTATATTTGTTTTTCTTCACTAAGTGATTTAGTTTTATTGCTATTAGGATCAGCTTCTGTAAAGGCATTGTCAAGGTATCTGTATGGAAATAGCAGTCTGGGAATTCTTTCGTTCCCTTTCAGGAGGATTGTTCATACAGGTGCCAAGGCTTCAGAATCGCCTGATTTGCTCCACAGGAACAAAGCCTTTTTTTCCCCCCCTTATTTGTGTGCCTTTATATTGCTGTTAATAAAATAAATGGAACCAAAATATTTGGCACGCTCTACTAATTTGTTTTCCAAATTTTCCTGCTCTTTAGCTATTTGAATCAATGAGCCACCATATCCACCTCCTAGAAGAGGTCATAAACTTTACAAATTTAGATTCTATAAGATGGCCAAAGGTCTGCTTTTCTGTATCTGACTTGACCATGTAGGTCAGCTGTTAAACAGTGTTTATTTGATGTGTCTTTAACATTTCCTGTTGTTTAATACCACATAACTCCTGAAGCCTAAAAAAATCCTAATATTTTTGAGTCTGTGAAGCAGTAATGAAACTTCCCAATTATAAATTAAGAATGCTTCTTTCCTACTTACATGTTCTATCAAAAAGCATAGATGGAGTCAGCCATTAAATCTGAGTGTAAATGATTTTTGTTGTTGTTTGTGATAGACTATTAAACCCAACAAAACCAAACTCCTGAGTCTGGTTGTACTGTATTTCTGGCTTTCTTGCACATAATTCTGTTGGAAGCCTCTTAGAAAAGCTTGATTCTATCTACATCTCAGACGTGATTTTGGCTGCCACTGACTAAAGTTAACCTGTTGGTTGTTGGTGAGTTAGCGTTGGTGTTATGCAGAGGTGTTGTTTTTTATTTTCCAATTCTGCAGGGAACATTAAGTCTTGCTACTGTGAAGTTAGACAAGATCCCCCAGGTAGCAACCTAGAGATGGGGGCAGGAGGTTTCATTGGTGAAAAGGCTCAGAAGCTGCTTATGTGTCGCTTTGTTGGTTCTTTATGTGAATGCCACTAAAACTTACTGAGGTCTTTATTAATGATGTGTAGTAAGTGAACATTTCAAGTAGAGTTTAAAGAATGTAAGCAGAAATGCAGCTTGGAGTAGTGTATTCCTAACAAATATCTAATCCCCTTTGCATTCCAGATGATTTGTCCTTAATCCGGAAGAATCGAATGGCTTTATTCCAACGTCTAACATGTGTACTTCCAATCCTTGGGAGTTTGCTATCAGCTAAAGTGATAACGGAACTTGAGCATGATGTTATTAAACAAAAGACTCAGACACCATTGCAAGCAAGGGAACTGATAGACACAGTTTTAGTGAAAGGAAACGAAGCAGCCAGCATATTCAGAAACTGTCTACGAGATTGTGACCCTGTACTATACAAAGATTTATTTGGTATGTCTGTTTCTTTTTTTTTTTTTTTAAAGGATGTAAGTTTATCAAAGTCTAACCAATGCTGTCATAGCAACATAAAGATAAAGAAAACAAATCAGATGCTGTTTGAATATAGATTAGTCAAATGACTAGGAATTGTTTTCTCTTATTTTAGTGGAGAAGAATATGAAGTATGTTCCCACAGAAGATGTTTCAGGTACCTTAAACTCTACTTTCTTACTTTAAAGGGTGTTGAGGGACAAATAGCTGACATAAAAAAAAAAAAAAATTACTTTGGTTAAGAAATAGGTTTTATGCTTTATGCTCTCCCTAATTCTGCTTTGGTAAGATGGACTTACCTGAAAAAGTTAAGTGCAGGTGCGGACTTGCAAACAAGAAATTTGCTGTCAGCTATATCCTGTGCCTTCCATGTGCTTTTGCACCATAGGAGGTTGAGCTTTGTGGAGCTTGACAATTGAAGCACATGCTGGACTTGATCCTGGTGCAAGCTCTTATTCAGGCATTTGGTAAAGACTGTGACTGTGAATAGTAGGTTAGCATTTCACGGCAGGTATCATCATCTCTGCTTTTCCAGAGTGGGTTATAGGTGTCCTAAGATCTAGCTTGACCAACAGCTGGATAGGTAAAAACTTGTCAGACATGGGATTGAGTTTGCTCAGGTTTGTAGTCCTATAGTTTAATGTGTCAATAGACTGCAGAAAAGTATACAAGCCTGAATATAGCCACTTCCACCAGTCATGCTGTGCTTCTAATATCCGAGAGGGAAAAGTACAGCATTTGCTAAAATGTAAACATCGGTTGGTCTCAAGAACTACAGTTGGCCTCCAATCCCTGAGCTGTTTGTCATCTCACAGAGGTGGAAAGTACAGACTAGTTCCTCGCATGCCATTTTCTTACCTCTGGAAAATGTACTTATTTTCTCACTGCCATCTATATTTAGTGAATACAGATAGGGAGATAAAGGGTGAAATGGAACATAGCTGTGTTCTACTTAGAATGCACATATATTCAGGCTTCTTAAAAAGCGAAATAATTTTTTCCAGGTTTACCTATGGAAGAACAATTAAGAAGATTGCAAGAGGAAAGAACGTGTAAAGTTTGCATGGACAAAGAAGTTTCTATTGTTTTTATTCCATGTGGCCACTTAGTGGTATGCAAAGAATGTGCACCGTCCCTTAGAAAATGCCCTATTTGCAGGGGGACAATAAAGGGTACAGTTCGTACATTTCTTTCGTAAGGAGGGAAACTTGCACAACGTCTTTGTTCCTGTCATCCTCCAACTGCTGAAGCTTAAGCCAGCAGTGTCTTAAGAATGGAAAATCGTGGTACAGAAGATGATTAATCAACTACCTAACACAGTTGTGTAACAGTAAAGTGTGTCATCATTATGAATATACTCGGTCTTCCTTGCCAAAGACTATTTCTGTTCATAAAACTAGCTCAATACTAAGGTGAGGTTTTCGTAGTTTTTCTTTCTGAGTAAGAAAGGCAGTTTCACTAGTGTGCCCTTGTGTCACTTTGAGTAAAAAAACCTTTCTGGTTGAATTCCTAACATGGAGCTTGGCATAACTCTTCTCATGAGTTTCCTCCGTGTGGATGTGAGGAAATACATTAAGATTGCTGTTTATTAATAATTAATATTAATTCAGCTGCCGTTTTGGTTCTGTTTTGGCTTTCTTGTGGACTTGAGGAGAAAAGAGGCTAACTGTTGCAGGAAGAGCAGGACTAAGTTTTGGTCATGCCTAGATATTTGTGTAATATGTATTAAATATAGTTTATATGAATAATGAATTAAAATATTTCTACTTATCAAATGAGTGCTTGTTTACTCTGTTTCCATTGTTGACTTTTCCCTGTAGACTGCAGTGACTAGAATGCTGTGGATTTCCTCATGAAACTTTGGGGTGGGTTGTTTGCCCACAGAAGTACAATAAAACTTAATTCTGTGTGTCTTTCATTCATTTTTGAATAGGGAGGTGAGCTTCTCTGATGCTATGTGATCACCTCGGGTAAAGTAGGGGGTTCACATTTTTGTCCTGATTTTAAAAACAAACAAAAAAAAAAGACCCCAAAACTTGAACAGCATCTGGTACATCCTTCTGTCTTGATTTTTCAAAGGATAGAAATCCTGGCCAGGAATGGTCCTCCTCACCTTGGAGATGAGGCAGAGGGTAGCTATACAGCAATGTGGCCTTTATGCTAGGGATTAAAATGTAAAAGCTACTTTTCTGTGTTTGGAACTTCATAGTGATTGTGCAATTAACTAGTAGAATCTTCCAGCCCCCCTCTCAAGTCTTTGGTCTTGTTTTGTAAGCTGGTAGTTGAGGGACTGCTATCTCCTTACTGGTTGACTGTTACTTTACCCTTTTCAGCTTTATATCCCTAGACTTGTGTAGTAGATACCTACAGAGGGGAAATGGTCACAGGTATTTTGCAAGGATTTTATGGCAAACAGTGGAAGAATACTGCCAGGATAATGGCATCGGATCCTGCAGTGGTGGTGTCACTTTGGTTGGCTCTATTAAGTCAGTCATCTCTTAATGCCCAAGTGTAGACTTCTCCATCTTCAGACCTGCCAGCAACAAGATGTTTTTTAACAGTACTGTGGTGTCTTACACACTGTAGTGTGAGGTGAAAATACCATTCCTCAAAATTTTAGGATGCCACACATTGCGAGTTGTGTGCGTGTAACTGGCTTTCATCACTTCATATGTGGCTTTAGCCATACATGTGTTACCTCTTCTAAAAAGAGAGCACCCCACATTTATAAAAGTAGTAAAGTGTATATATTTAAAAAAAAAAAACCCACCCAAAACCACAACACTTGTGTGGGCTGTGTAACTTGTGACTCACTGTAGTGACTGACCTGGGTAACGGTTGCCTAGCGTATAGAGCAGGGCTTGTATTAAGTGGGGGAAATGTTTGTCACTAGCAAATAAATTTCCATTGCTACTTACAGATGCTGTATGTTTGGCATTTGTATATGTCTTTCCTGTTGTAATTTAATAAAAGTCCGCCTCTCAGTCTGTGAATGACACCTCTGGTCTGCTATAATCACCTGCTGTCTTGGGAAATCTGTCCACCGAGTTTGGGATTTAGACTGTGTGTGGAGTTAACAGTATGTTATATTTATAGCCTAACTGCAGCCACAGCATTGAATCAAAGTTTTGGCTAGTTAAAAAGGGCCAAAACATACTTTTATTTGTTAATTATGTGACTGCGGCAGAATTGTTAGCAGATTCAGGATGTTTCCATCAGTAGTACTCATCACTAAATTTAGTGGGGGCAGTCGTGCAAAGGAAGATACAGACACATTCCAGTTACTCTCTGTCTTTCCCTGTATCTCCAAGCAGCACCTCCTGGGCTGGAGTCCCTTTCAAAATAATACTGGAGATACTGATTTTGAAGAAGTCTTGCTTTGCTGTCTTAGGGTTAGGGGAGGGGTATAAGAATCTGGACTGGTTTGTCTTTAAACATTTTTAGTGTGAATTCAGCATCACTGGTGTCTGGATTCATCCATAATTTCTGCAGCACTGTTTAATGCTGTGCATTAGCTGGCACCATCATTTTAATGCTTTGGTAGATGTTCCTTGCAGTACGTAGGAGTCTAACTATAGATTGGCTTGCTCTAATTCTTTTAAATGCAGACTTTTGTCCAACTTCATTGCATGTACGTATCTTCCCTTTAATTTTGATGTTAAAAATGTAAATGTTTCAAACCTAGCATTTAGTTTTAAACAGCTTTGATTAACATACTTTTGCTTTTCAGGTTTTGAAATGTTTCTAAGGGCTTTTTTGTCTTCTGTGGCAACTTAAAAAATTGTCAAAGATTATGAAAGCTTGTTAAGGAGTAGAGCGTGTGACTTGAAATTTGGTGTTCAGACCCAGGAATTAGTAATATTAGAACCAAGTATACTTTCTACAGATTAAGATGAGTCTGCAGGGGGAGCTGGAGAGGACAGGTTGACCTGAAGAGTGTGGAACAGTTAGTATGTAAGCCCGATTTCTGAACAGGGAAGAGGACAGGGGAAAACGTAATAGCAGGCAGACTTTTTAAGCAATGCATTTCTCTTTAGAATCGTATGGGGTTAGAGTTTTTCAAACATCGCAGTTACTATGTATAAATCAGATGACAGGATATAGAGGGCTTTAAAAACTGGGTGATTCGGGTGTTCATTGTCACTTGTGCTGCTTGAAGGTATCTCGGGACCTGCAACATACCTGTCAGCACTGGTTGCTGAGTGTTTTGAATGTCCTGGGCAACCCCAAACAGCACTGGCTGCCCGCATCTAGGCACCGGCACCGCTTTCTGAGAAGTGGAAGAACTTGCTCTAGAAACTGCTGGGTAAAATTCTTTGACCTGGTTTTGGCAGGAAGGCTGATCTAGGTTATGGCTTTCCACTGCTCCCCGCTGTGATGGTTGTGGTTACCCTGAGCTGTACTGCTGTACACGTGAGCAGTCACACTCTGCTCGGTACTATTCTGAGAAAGCTGTAATAAAACTAGTTGCCTGCAGCATGTTGCAAAGAGAACCCTAGCAAAATGTGAAACCATGGGGAAGACTGCATAGCGCTATGTTTGGAGAGGATCAAGTGACTTTGGTTACTTGGGAACCAGCTGATCATGTTTGCACTTTGTTCTGCATCCACTTCCTTTTTTGAAAGCATTTTCCAGAGCTTTGACCGGGTTAAACAGCGACGAAGAGCCCCCCCGCCCCCAGCCTCCTGCGCAGCTCTGCTGATGATGCAGGTCGAGTTCACAGGCGTCAGCGTTCCGGGCCCATGGCTCGTCTTGAGCTGCCAGAGGGTGTTTGTATGGCTTAGGGGGTGTGGAGCGTGGCAACTTTGGCATCATTGAAGTTCAGTGGTCAGACTTGGTGTAAGATGAAGGTAGAAGGCAATATTCCCAGGTTATATAAATAAGCAATTTCTTCGCTTGAATAAGGTTTACCGTATCTGCAAAGGCCCTCACCTGGGGCAGCTGCAGCTTCTGATACTGGTTTGAGATACTGCAAGATACAGTGGCGTCCCAAGTAGCAGCTGTGTGTTTTGTGAAGCAAGTGCCATGAAGCTTTATTGTAATTATTTAGCAGTTTCCTGCATGCTTGTGTTTGGTTTTTGTGTGTGTGCTCTTGTTTTAGCTGAATGCATATCTTCCTCTTCTGTTTGCCTTTGAGCGTTGGCCAGGACGCCCAGCGCCCTTCCAGCCGAAGGCAGCACGCAGCCCTAGTATCCACAAGTGATCAGACTGCTGCGGAGCACTGCTCTTATGTGCTGAAATTAATGGCCATATAATCTAGGATCTCCATTAGTGTGATATAAAAGACAAATCTTTTTATTGCTGCTTTTGGTGACTAAGAGTTAGTGGTTGTTTAGTAACTCCGTAGTGCCACGCTCTCAGAACTTGGTTCTTTGCTACATTCCTCATAAGACATCAGAAGAAGAGAAGCACATGAAATTGTAAACAGTGTATTCATCTGCCTTTAATTCTGTGTTGTGACAATTGCAGTGCAGCGGGGCTGGGGCGGGCAGTAGCATGTTCGATGGTGCAGATGGACTGAACTGGCAAATTGAGTTTTCTTGTGGTTATTCCTATGTATACCTCATGTGTGTGAGTTGAGACAGGAGGCATGTTCTGGACACAAAAAGTTATTCTCTGTTCTGTTGAACTACTTAACGTGCAATTGTTGTCACTCTTACTCCGGAGGTTGCTAGTGCAGGGAGAGAACTTCCTGAGACAACACTAAATCACCAGTCCTTTGTTTCTGTATTTAATTGAGTGTGATCAAAGCAGTCACTGATACTGCAGCCCAACTTCCTCACCGATGGCTGCTGGACTGATGGCCCTTCAAGCCGAAGAGTCTGGGGTGTCGCATACATCCTGCGCAAGGAAGAGCAGAACTCCGAACGGCACATCCTGCTGTGCTATTTTCAAAACAGAAACACGTGAGTTGTTATTTTTTTCTCTTTGAAGAGATCAAAATATGCGGGATCATAGCAGGAAATTGTTTGCACGAAAGCAATGTCCCAGCAGTGGCTTTCACGTTTAGTTTTGGTGAAATATTTTTAGGGAAAAGCTGGAGAACTTGCCAAAGGTTTCCCAGCTCATGTATTGGAGGGTGTAGACTTGGTCAGAACAAAGATTTCTTTCTTTTGCGTCTGTATAGCTTGATGTACTGATGCTCTGTTCTTTTAGCAGATAGAGGAGTGAAATACTCGGTACTTACAGAGTACAGGATGTCAGGGTTGTGATTTGCCCAGTGGAAGAAAGCTTCAATTCGAAGAGAGGAATGAAGTCTTTAGAAAAGATTAAGTCATATGTGGAACAATCAAAAGAGGAGAGCACCCCATTTGTACAGACACTCGTTGCTTTTCTTTGAGCCCTGCCAAGGAAACTGAGTTACATCGGGTTTTTTCTAACACTTTAGAAGCAGCCATCACCTCGGTGCTGGGCAGGTGCAACACCTTGGTTTCCAAACTGCTTTAAACTCGGTGTGGAGAAGGTCAGAACAAACAATAGACAAACTCAAAATTTTGAGTAT